CCTAGGTGTGGCGACGAGCCCTCCACGACGCGGACGTGGTATCGTCGCCGTGCTTCGGGATTCGAACGCCGAGTGAAGACGTGACTCTTCGGGGCAGGGGAGAGTTTGGCCCTGGTGGACGCCCCGGGCCCGCCGGGGCCTGCTCCGCCCCCGCTCCGGGAGCGACCCGGGGGGTGAAGAGGGTGGGTTGGGTTGGGGGGCTTGGTGAACCACCAGCAGCACCAGACACAACCTGTCAATACGGGGGTAACCCGGGGTCAATGTGGGGGTGCGCCATGGGCAATATCCGTTGTGCACGAGATCTGAGTCGTTCCCACACCTCGGTCGGTAGACACAGTGGTGCGCTGCGGGAATACGGATCCCGGTCATCGGCGACGTCGAACGTGCCGCACGACGGCGGCGTGACCCATAGCCATAGCAGCGGCTGACGATCCCCCCGACGACGTGACCGACACCCGAAAGGGCGCCCTCCCCGGTCTCCGGCGACGACCACACCACCTAACCGTCCTGGCACCGACGTCGGGCTCGCGAGCCCGCACGGACGGACGAACAGCCGACTAGAGAGCTCTAGCTAGGCCTCCTAGGGTCGACGAGTTTCGCCCGCCCGAGTGCGTGCGTGCGTGTGTGCACAGAAACTGAATGAGTGGTGAAACGCCCACAGTTGTTGTTTGAAGCGCGATTAAAAGTCTCGACCATTCGTCTCGCAGTAATAAACAAATCGCAACGCTCGCCGGCGCCACACACGAGGGGCGGCGCGCTAAACGGCGCGGTGCAATATAACGCCTCGATTTACGATCTCCGAGGCGGTCACAGAACGTTATTGAAACAATGTCGACGCCGTCGTTGTGTATTTCGTTCGGATTTCGTTGAAATAACGTTCAGATTTCGTTTACACATGGTTCTGATATCGTTCTGATATTGCTCCGATATCGTTCGGAAATCGTTCTGATATCGCTCGGATATCGTTCAGATATCGCTCAGATATCGTTCAGATATCGTTTAGATATCGTTCAGATATCGCTCAGATATCGTTCAGATATCGTTCAGATATCGTTCAGATATCGCTCAGATATCGCTCAGATATCGTTCAGATGTCGTTCAGATATCGTCCAGGTATCGTCCAGGTATCGTCCAGGTATCGTTCTGATATCGTTCAGATATCGTTCAGATATCGTCCAGATATCGTCCAGGTATCGTCCAGGTATCGTT